CAGGAATGGTGTATTTAAACAACAAAAAAAATAAACTAGCTTATCACATTTCTATTACTTTACCACTTTTGTGTGTCTACTTACACAAGCCCACCGGCAAAAAACACAGCAGTAATACGTGCATGAGGAAATGTTTGTAATACTGGGTTTTTAACTCTGATTTTAGTTCTGGCATTAATCTGTAATTCATTCTAACAAGCAGGGAAGCTGCAACTCTTTATCTGAGTTAAAGGTTTCTCAAATGCCTCTCAGTTTTAGTCTAGCAATATCTTATCTATTGCCAGCTTTCTCATTACTTCAGAGTTGCTATACCACCTTTATGTGCGAGGCTGCCAAAATCATGAATGCTGGCAGACTTACAAATGCAGTTGAAATTCCTGGTGGAGCATATAAAAGTATTTTACAGAGGTTCAGTGTGAAATTAGATCTAAATTAATTTTTTTAAAAAGCCAAACTTGAGGATAAGAGACTTATTCTATGTAATTACATAAAAGTCTTTAATAGCAATTACATTTATTGTCTGTGTGTAACCACCACATGTATACTAAACATTTTGTAGTAGAAGAGATAGTTATGCTTTGTGAGCTCTAATAAATTCCCCAGATAATCCGTCTACCACTCAAGAAGAATTATTTCTGCTCTACAGAATCATCAAAACACAGAGATCTTCCATGTAAGCACCCAGATGAAATCAACTGTAGTCCTGCATGCAGTTTACCCACAAACTAAACTTCACAGTACCTGGATGAAAATGTAGTATAGAAACAGAAGAAAGCCAAGTAGTTGTCAGAAGGAGTTACTAAGAAGTTTTGTTTTTCATCCGTAACAATTGGCAAAAATCCTGCTTGTTGCCAATAAAAAATACTGGAAGAGCTTCAGTGTTTTGTGTGAAGAAGAAATTTTTTTGTATAGTTTAGGCAGTCAGACTTTTCAAACTCTTGTGGAACTCATTTCTTCTTCAAGAGCTTAATTTTGGTTTAATAGTAGTCATAAATCATGAAATGAAAAGGGTAAGTTACATAACAGTAGCTGATTTTGATCTGTCTTATATTTAGCATTCATTGCCATAGAAGTGTTTTGTTTTATAATATTAAATAAATATCAGATCTCTATAACCTGGAAAATTTTAGCATTTATAACTAACCCCGTGATGTTCCTCTTAAGCTGGTGACACCTTAATTTTAGTTTCTGCATACTGCCTTTCTGTTGGGATTTCTTATGCAACCAGTGTATTTTTTGGAAAGTGTGTCATAAGTCAATTTTAGATGAACCAGAAACAAAAAGCTCAATAGCACCCTTCATAGCTCTCTCACTGTTGTTTATTCTGTACTGGTTCAGTTTGTACAAATACTATAAATATTAGTGGACAATTAATTTTGAATGGTGTGACTGCTAATGGGGAGTGATGTTAGTTTGACTGATGTTTAATGTAATAGATACAAGCAGAAATTCATAAGCCAAAATTCCGATCTTTTGAGATAAAAACATGCTTTTTAATAGGAGACAGATGACTACCGGTATTTTGACCCCAAGATGCTACGAGGCAGTGACAGGTGAGTTTACTATGAGTTTTGCTTCTTTCCTTGTACCCTGTGAAAAGGCTAACTTAAGAAATCCGTTTTTATTTTACTTGCTGACTCCACGTAATTAATTTTAATCATTAATTCTAAGTCAAGACAGTTGGTGTTGAAGGATTTCACAACAGGAACTTGAATCAACCAGATAAATTTTTATAATACTGCAAAAAAAATAATCTTTGTTCCAGTGACTGAACATGCTGCTAACATGTACATCAGTTCAGTCACAGGAACGTGTACTAATATTTAGCAATAATAAATGTTAGAATACTTTATAGTTGTACTGCTTGGTTGCTTTGAAACTTTCTGGGTTTTCACTGTTAAATTAAAAAGTCATCAGCGCACCAAAATTTCTTCATCACTTTTTAAACAGTTAAAATTTTAATACAACCCTTCTTTAGTAATTCGTTAATAACTTTGCAAAAGAATAATTAAAAATTGACTGCATTTGCTCTTGTATAGGCAGGTGCACATTTTATATTCATGTGCATATGAAGGGAGAGTTGGATATAGTTTAATAAATAGTAGTTTAATAAAAGAGAGGAAGAGAAATTACACTAGAAGTTGATAAATTTATATATTTTGCTTTATATCTTTGACCAATAACTGTGGCTGATAATCTCACCTCTAATATCCTAGAAACAGAGAAGATACTTAATTTTAACATACCTTCTAAAAATAATTTTCATCTGAGCTGTGGGAAAACAATCAGCTCATTTAATTGCAGGGGTTTATTACAGGACGAGTATGGGTAAAGTAGGTCCAGACTTGGTTTTAGTTATTTGCCTTAAAATCTGTCCCCACTTCCTCTGTTCTTGAAACATGGAAAGTGTATTTCTGACAGCATAAGTAGTAATAGGAAACAAATTTCAGATAATATATGTATGTTTTATTGGAAGGTGTGATTACAGACTATATAATTTCAAAGATAAGCAGATTTTGAAAGCATCAAAGAAAAAACTGCCAATATTTTATATTTCATTTTAATTGCAACTTTCATTGTTTTGTTATGCTTTTATAGCATTTTTGGAGGATTTTGTGCAAAAGTGCAAAGATTTGTTCTATTAAAGCCAAAGGGTTTTTCTCATGTAAATGTGCATTTTTACCCACTCCATGTATTTCTTATGTTGCTTTAAACAATGTGAAGATACGCATTTACAGCAGTTCATAAACGTGCCATTCTGTGTAGCTATAATAATCATCATAGGGAAAAGCTTATAATTTCTGTTTTGTGATTTGTTTGGATTTTTTACATAAAATCAAGTTATATTCCTTAAATCATATTTGAGCATGACAACAAAACTCTAGTATAGCCGTATAGGGGTCTGTCTAATTCTCCCCTCAAATATTTATGAAGATGATAAAAAAACATAGGTTAGCTGGCTTGGCAAAATATTACTAGTTTAAAATAGCAATATCAAATAGTATAATTAATGGATTGATACTAGAAAGTGATGAATTTTTTTTTCTAACTTACTCCTGTTTGAAGAAATACTGTCATTTCTACCTATTTTTTTTAAATAGAATAGGAGCTGCATTACTATAATTCAGTCTTAGCAAAACAGTAGCTTTATATCCTGTGGAAAGCCTATGTCAAGTATAAACAGGCCTTGCCCTCTGAAAGGATGACACAAAATGCATGTGGATTTGTCATATCATACTCAAACAATGAGAGAGTTGGGTTAATAGTTCTCCTTATGGGGAGTCTGTAGTATTCATGATAGATCAAAACGACATATTAGAGAGAGCCATTCCCTCTTAAAACCTATTTTTCTGATACAGTGGAATCTGTGTTGAGTCAATTGCTGTTGGTCACTCAGAAAACTTCTTGAAATGAGAGAAAAGATAAGTTGAAGGGAAAAATGCAATGCTTTTAATCTGTGTTAGAACATAAGATGTATGGGGCTGCAGGCCAGTGCAGGGCAGGAAGGTAGTGGTAGCGTGTGAGCAAAGGGAAGGAGAGCAGACTGACCCTTCAGAGCTTTCTCTTTGCTTTTTTCCTTCCTCCTGAAGGTGTAAGGTGATGCAGGAAAAGAGGTTTCTCCCCCTCTCCCTGCCACCTCCCTGTGGCTAGGACTGTGCATTCAAATGGAGAGGAAGAGTCGGTACCACCCAAAGTGTAACTTACCTCTTCCTCCTTAAATCATTTTAATCCTAATGTTGTTGTGACACCTGACAGCAGAACACACACCTGCTGCCTGTAGTAGTTTTTGAGATTTTTGAAGCATCAGTAAGTATATATGCAGGCACTGCAAACTGACTGGCTTACGTAGTTAAGATTCCGGTAAGCAGGATTTGTAAGTGTTAACGAACCATGGTAATGCTGCTGATTTTTTTTTTTTTTAACTCATTCTATTTGCTTCTACCTAGTAGCACTATAGTTAGAGCTTTTCAGCTCTAAAAGAAGTGTTGTCATAAAGCTTATGATTCAAACAGCAACCTTAAAACTGATGAAGTAAACCTGCTGTTTACTCATGTATTCATTCCTGTAGAATGAATGATTTTCCGTAACAAATTATTTAAATAAAATACTTGCAGAATGAATGCAGAAAGGCAATTATTGTTCTATTTCATGTCTTTGTTTAATATTATGTAGTATTCCATAAACATGATGTGTACATGATATTTATTTTGCATGTTTACATTAATCTCTAATAAAATTTGAGTTGTAGTTTGTTTTTGGTTTTTTTATAGCTCAGTTCCAAGAAACAAAAATCCATTCCAGGAGGTAAGTCACGTAGAAATTATTTTTCAGTGTTCATGTGTTAAAAAAAAAATAAAAACCCTGAAGTACCAGTCATGTTTTATGATCATGATTAAGAAAACAAGAGGTCTTGTTTGCAAAAACCATTTAGACTAATTACATCTAGTATTAATTATAATTACCTGTTATTCTGAAGAAGTCTTTTCATCTTCAAAGGACTATGTAAGCATTAATTAATACTGGAGAAAAAAAAAATATAGAAAATTCTTCTGGAGGTAATTACAGGGATTTATTAATATCATAATTGGGTACTCAGCAATTTAAAACCCCCATTTTTATACCACGTCTTTAGAACGCTCTCTAGATTTAATCCTTTGTCTGCCTTTAAACAGCAGTGTTGACCACTGATTTAAGTGACAGTATTTTAAACAGCCTCTGCAATTAAAGGAAAAAAGCAGAACAACAAATGTTGTCATTTTATACAAATGCCAGTAACTTTCAGTATTTTTCAACATAAATATTTGCAAATAATAAAAGTCTTACTTATCTGATCTTATTACCAAGTTTCATAGGCAAAATCTTTGCCTTGGCAATACACAGATGTCTCGGATTTGTCTTGAAATGTCCTAATTATCCTCCTGAACAAAAGAAATGCCATGTGATGTCATATATATGGCTATGTCATAGCAAAAATGTCAGTAGTAACATAAAGTCTATAAAAATTTCATTTAGTGTAGTCAAACAATTGTGGATAGTGAATGTTAACAAAAATGATGCAACTATTAAGTCTCCTTCTTCTATTCATTAATTGTTGTCTTTTAAACATAGCCCAGAAAATACTGATGGCCTTTACCTGTAATATTATAGATTATTACCAGTAGTAAGTGTGGGGTGGGGAATAATGAAGAAGTGTATTCCTTTATAGCAGAAGTATTTGTGTCCTGAATTAATTCTTAAGCATCCATAGAAGTTTTTTACCTGTTCCTATGGACACTGGAGACATCTCCGCACAAAAAAGTAACATGTTGAAACTGCATATGTTTCAAATATTTCTTAGTAGAAGATAGTGACACGTTAAAAGCTCTCAGCTTGCTATTCTGCATCCTACTAAAACTCTTCTATTATCTTCTTTCAGGTAGGAAGCTAGTGGTTCTGTATCCAGTTCTCATTAGACTGAAGTGTGATTAGGATGATTTTTGCTGTAGGTTTAAGGATTTGGTATATATTTTACTACTGAAATGTTCTTAAGAATTGGAATGCATATTCTGATTATGTGTGTGTTGCCTTTTAGGCAATAGTGTTTGTAGTTGGAGGAGGCAACTATATTGAATATCAAAATCTTATTGACTACATAAAGGTATGTGCACTTCTGTCAGTTGTAGTCTATAACTTACTGATATAAACCAGTTTTAGCAGGTTTTCTGTAACATTTAGTATTTAGAAGATTAAGTCTATGAAATTAGCCTTAACATCCTTATTATATACACAGTCTGGGGGGGAAAAGTATGTAAGAAATCACTAGAAAATGGGGATTGTTAATTCAGACCAACAAAGAGTTACTGTTTCTGGTATTTTTGCTCATGTTGCACTTTTGAATTGAGTAAATAAACTGCATTCTGCTTTATTTTGTCTTCACAATTTACACACTGAAGTCGTTGAAAACTGTCAGCAGATGTAGCTAACAATTAACCAGTCTTCTGTATTCTTACATCAAATGCTGTCACTTTGGCTGTTCATATTGTTTGAGAGTCCTATTACTAGTTTTCATTTGCTGTTGTTAAGTAAAGCAGCTGTAGCATATCATAGCCTTGAAAGTAAGGAACTGCTCAGAATTATCTAATTTTGATCAATCTCGCAAACGAGATACTACAGTACTTTTTCGTATGTAACTTAGCAATATGAAGTCAGTTCAAAACAAGGCCTACAGATAACACTATCTTATTTTACAACAATCTTACCTGAGCGTAATGTCTGTTGTTTCAGAAGCCAACATAATGCAAATACTATCCCATCTGTCAAAGCAAAGATCGGCTCATCAGGCATCAATATCTGAGCATTTAATATTTACCCACATTTAGAATTTTTTGCTAATGAGTTAATGGAAGCTCATTCTTGATATGCTGCATCATTTGATCCTGTGTAGACATCGTAAGAGGTGTCATATGCACAAAGAAGAAAATATGTAACCAACTATGTAATGCTGGTATAATAGATTTAATTTCTCTGGTTCCAGCTGGCCAGCCTAGCAGAACACATGTATACCAAAACTCAGTGGATGGAGAAAAGTAACTACATGGTTACAGTTCTTGGGGGGCAGGGGTGGGATTCAAGCACTTTCCAGGAAGAAAAAAAAATACAAAAGGAACCTTGATAAAATTTTGAAGTAGGTAATAAATTATTTAAGAGCAGCAGCATACCACTCTTCCTTCCTGCTCTTAACCTTGTTCGTGGTACGATCGTCCTCGTCCTGTGGTGGACTGGATTGAGGCTTTTCACACAAAAGAATAAATATGGAGCATTAGTCACTATAAAACACTTCTTCCACAAAACAAGCACACGAGAGCTTTATGTCCAGGTAAATCTTGAAGAACATAAAGTCAGAACGTGTGTGCTGGGTTGTTTTCCGCCTCTAACAGGCAACTATTTTGGAACAGAGCTGGTCTGGATAGGGGAAAGGAGAGGAAGAGGAATGTAAGTTAAAGAAATTATTTAGGCTCAGCTTAGCACTTATCACTATTCTTGATGACTAATTACAGCATTCAGTGGGGCATCTGCCTGTAGCAGAGTGCATTGTCAAACTTTTGGCTTGCTCCTTAGTTTACCCAAAATCACCTCAGGTGCCATATCCATTAAAAAGACGCCCAGCAACATGTGTATTTGCAATGTATATTTATTACTTCCTACTAAAATAAAACTCTGAATCTTCTCTGATACATAGCTGCATATTGACAGAGCTGAGGTTTGCTGTGTATGTGCATATACAGAGCATTTGTATGATGAGAAGTTAAACACATCACTTCATATAAAGTGGCAGGAAGCTGAAGTTTCTGAGGAATAAGAGGGCAAAGAGAAGGTCATTTGGTAGATAGAAAGGACAGAAGAAACTGCAAACTACAGGAATGGTAATGTTAGATCTTACGGAGAGTCAGAAGTTGGACATAGTTTTTCTTCTTCTGGAACCCGTGGACAGAGGTTTCTTCATCACCAGCTGTCACAGCTGAAGGGTGCTGTATGTTTCTCCAATCGGACTGCGTACTTGGTCAGTGGGAGATGACCTCCCAAGGGGGAAGACTCCCCTCACCTTTATTCCACTTGGCCATTTGCTCTTGCAAAAACAAGAAAGGTTAGTGAAAGCCTTAATTCTACCTCCCACCCCCCAGAGACTTGTCTGCCTCTCCCAGGTGACTCTTACAGGCTTATCCAATAAAATTTGCTTTTCCATGTGGTATGCTTCCAGCATCTGTAGTTTCAACAGATGTAGCTTATTGATTATTCTAATAGTCAATCAGTCTTCCTCCAGAATAAAAAAAGAGAAAAATCAACAGCTCTGTTCTTGCAAGCAGATACCAAAGATTTATTCACTGCTTTATTTTTCTAAGCACTATCTGTTTTGCCAGTTTGCCTCTGAAAGCACAGAGAAAGTATTTTAAAACTTTCTAAAACAGGAAGCAATGTTCATTCAGCTTTGACATTCTGGGTTTTTTTTGTAGGAGAACTGAGAGGAACCCTCAAATCCAATTATTTGCAGTTCTGTGCTAGAATGGACTATCTCACTTCATCAAAAAGCAAATATTTATAATGTCAGTAAGGCAGATTGTGCCTTAAAATAGATATATTGGCCCAGTTCAGTTCAACATGCTGAAAATGTGTCATCAGAATTGCAAGCCATAGGGAGCCTGTAAGAGGAGACTAGCATACTGTTTTGTACAAAAGAATTAGCATGTCCTTTAATTTCCTTTTGTAGATGGTTAGAAAGGTACTGCTTGATAATCTGTTCTAGTCTACCTGTGATAGACATTATCATTTATCACAAGAAATGTAAATCCAGCATAGTTTTTCAGTCATTAAAAAAATCTGGACTTTGAAGAGTACTGAGGTTATTTTTTTTTAGATGTTAAGCAGTTTCGATTTGGCTCCAGTGATTATTTGGAGATACATCTCTTTGCTTGAATGGACTAAGTAATTAAATTTAAATAAAAGCATACACATTTTTAAAATTACACTTTCAGAAGAATATATATGACAGACTGGAAGTGTACATTAATGTATTTTAGAGCTGCCTGAAAGGCAACAGTCCCATTTCACAATTATTTGTATAGTTTAATTGGTACTAGGCAGAAACAAATGCTATTCAGTCATACTACTGAAAGTGGAATCTATCAAAATACCAGTTTAGATCAAAACCAGACCTGTTTGGGCATCAAGATTAAAAAAACCAGCCTGAAACATGGAAAGGTGCAAGCTCAGGATCCTGCTCCGCAACGAGAATAGCTTATTACCACAAACCACTCAAAACTAATAAAGACGAGGACTTGAACCAGGATTACCATCTCCCCAAACAGCGCGTGACCACTGGCTAAGGACTGTTAGAATCTGCCTCTGTTACTTTCTGCTGAAACAGCACAATTAGTAATATATAATGAAACAAAATCATTTTGTCAAGGCTTACGTTCCTATTTTGCTCTTTAATAAGTAAGTTTTACCTAACTATTCTCAAGCCTGTGCTTGAACTTTGAAGATCCATGGGATTATTAACCAACACTGGAAATAAACTCAGTCTGAAACTATGTTTTGCTTAAACTAATTTTCACTCCCAAAATGCTAACGTAGCACTTTGGCAGCCTTACTATCAAGTGAATACTTTTTAACTGTTCACTGCAAACATGTTTATTATGCATCTGATTGAAATCAACATAACATTTTGTTTCAGAATCCCTTTACAAAAAAAAGTGCTGTTTTTAACATCATCATCTGGAAATGAATTACAGACTGAAGTGTTCAGGCTCTAACACAACAGAAACAGTAAATATGTTGTTACTAGTCTTAGTGCAGTGCCCAGTTATTTTAGGGGATAGGGTTTGCTCAAGTAAGGTTGCTACCTTCCTCAAGCCATTCATAGATATGTCAGAGAACTTAGCATTCTAGTGTGTTTAAATGTGTAAAATGCCCCATTTTTTCCACTTTCTTTCTGCCTCTGGTCTCTCATTTTCCACTTCAATTTAATTACAGATTTTTTTCCTCTGGTGGAACAACTATTCTTTTTCCAGCCAAAAGTGTAGGACTTCAACATCATCAAGATTTTTTTTTTTTTTGGTATACAGTTACTTTAAGCCACTTCTGCTACTCTGTTAAATACTTGATTTTTTCCTGACTTTTCTTTTTTTAGGGTAAACAAGGCAAACATGTCCTGTATGGCTGCAGTGAACTTTTTAATGCTACACAGTTTATAAAACAGGTAGGTACCTTTGATAACCTCTGCAATATTTATTACTTCTGTAACTGCGTGTTGACTTATTTACCTTTACATCTCCCCGTGGCTTTAAAAAAAACCAAACAAATTTGTGAAAGATTAATACATGTTCTTGTTATCTATTTTCCCTTGACTGAAATAGAGGTTTGGAGTCACTATTTTTAATTAACTTTTGAAGGCCTGTATTGTCAATGTGAGTTCGCAAGTAATGGCAGGTGAACAAGTTCATAATAATTGCCTAATGAAGAAAATTACTCAGTCCTGATACTTTCACAAATAGCATGTCTTTCCAGGCTATTCTAGCGACTTTCACAAGTTAAAAACTGCTATTCAGCTATGATATTGAAACCTTTGTCCTAAATTTTGCTTTAATTTATAAGTACTGACCTGGTGGGAGCCTGAGATTATCCATACCTATATTAATTAAAATCAGTCTTTTAGTGCTTTAAAAAAAAGTTATCGTTGCCATTACTTCTCTATGCCTCATTCTAATACAAAAGCAAAATAAAAATTATTCATGGCGGTCAGCAAATAATAGCCCTTCAGTAGCTGTCACCACCTATGGTTTTACTTCCTACTAAGATGAGAATAAATTGTTACTCAAAACTACATTTTAAAGAACTAAATTCCTTCTTGTTGCACTTGAAGGAGACAAAACAAACGGTACTTACCAGCTTTTAACTCTTCAGTCAGCTTACTTAACTTTTTCGTTCCTCCAAGACTTGACTGTGTACGCGGCACCATTACTTCTGAAATTTATTCAAATCTTAAGATTTGAAGCTCAGATCCTCTCCTGTGAGGGTATGCATTAAATATTCTATTACCAGCATACTTTTCATTGTAAAAGACAAACAAAACTTACAGGGCAGAAATGTTTACTGTATGAACTGGGTACTAGTTTGACTGAAAGAATAAGATTAGCCTAATGGTTTTCTGTCTCTTTGTGTTTAGCTGTCCCAACTTGGCCAGAAATAAGACTGAAACACCATTACCGGGACGGCAACGTGACAACAAAGAATTGTTGCAACATTCAGATATCTTCATATCTATAACTTTTTTGTCATTATATTAAAACTTAAACCCATTTCATTAATATGATAACTTTTAAAAAAAGACCTGTAATTAATAATTACGGTGTATACCAACATTTCGGAAATAAACCTTAAAACCTGCTGTATTTTTGGTGAGGGTCAGTTTCACGTTATTACATTCCAAATGCAGTATTAGCTATGGTATATGACAGAGCTGGCTGAAAAGCATCGCATTTTCAAGTTCTTACATATGGTTTCTGTTACAGTAAACAAAACAATAGCTTGAAGAAAAGGTCAAGTCTGTCTTTAGGAGATGTGTTCTTCTTGAGAGCCAGACTACCTTTATTTAACAAAATTGAAAAGGACAAAACTGCCTGTTAGGACCACAGACAACCAGCCTTAGTGCAAGAGAACTACTGCTTCTAGTTCTTACCCTTTTGTTTTACCAAAGTCCTTATACTTGTACTTAGATTTGTGCAGTCTTTGCTCGATGGTCCAAAGATGTACTTGAAGTTACCTTCAGTACAAGTTGCTGATACAGTAATTTAGCTTTTCGCTTAAAGTTAAGAGAAAACTGCTTGCCTGCATAGTCCCAGTTTCAAACTGTAAAATATTTAACAATTTTCCTCTGCACTTTTTATTGTAACTGCTTTGGACTGTTACGTTTGGGAAGAAACCGAGTCTCACTCACAGAACAGCTCTTAACTGTTTTATAAGCACATATTTAAAATACACTTTTTAACAATTGCATTAGGTAGAGGCAGTTTAGTAGTTCAAAGAATCTCATGATATAATTAAGTTTTGCCAGTAATGATAGCTCTGGAGAGTGTGTATGGGAATTGAGAGAAGGTAACAAAATTTCTTTATAGATGTAGGTATCTGCCTCTAGAAATGTCCCTTCTGGAAACAGCACTGCTACTGGTGAAGCAATAATATGTCTTCAAAATGAGGCCTAGCATACTCAAAAAGTGAAAAGAAAACACTTACCATGGGTTTATTAACAAACTGTGAGATCGTAGAATTGCTGGGTTACTGTAAATATTTCAGCAGTGTTTTTTGCACTATTCTTCAATGTTGAATGTTAATTTTGCTCTAAAGGCAATACTTTTTCCCAAGCGAGATTTTTTTTCAGAACATCTGTACAAGAAATGCAGTTGATCTATTCCTTAAAAGTATCACAATAAAAATATGCATAATCTAGACTGTGTTATCAAAAAGTAATAATGTTACTTAGCTAAGAGTTGTAAGCTGCTCCACACTACTACTTTAAACTTCTTACTTTGCCAAGTCAATAAATATATTTATTGTGGTGTTAATAATAGTTGTTGTATATGAGTGCTCTCCCATAGTTCAATCAGCAAGGACTCACTGTATCAAATGCAGTTTGTTATTCTAATTCCTTACATATACTATATTTGTCAGTAAAAACAGGCCAAAGTGCGTTTGGAAAAGAAAATGACATTTAAGGTGTTTATTGCTTCCTGTGGGAGTTTGTTCCAGGAGCTTGAAATAATCCATCCCCAAGAAAGCTGTGCTTGCTATGCAAAGAGTTTTAACTTTGCAGCTGACAACCAAGTTCTGAAAAAATCTGCTGACTGTTTTTTGTCCAGATCTTGTGGCAGCCTCTGATATGATGGACCCTGCTCGTTTAAACCAGGAGCACTCCTAAATCACGGCTTACAGAATTTGCTGTTTCAGTAAATTATGAAAAGATACCAGAAATTACTTTGGTTGCTGTGTTCAAAAACTTAATTGGCAGTCTTTACACTGCCTCTGGGGGCAGGTTTCATTCGTGCCCAGCTTTATAGCTGGATCTTCAGGTCTGTTGTGTAAGCATGCACTGGTCAATTCGGGTTTTGGTTTTTTAAAAAAAACAAATAAATACAATTCTAGTACTTCAAACATTCTTCTCTTTCCTCTCCAAACTAGTTTTCTGGTTTTGTTGTATTAGTAGTCCTAAAGCTCTTTGTTACCATGAAAATCTCAGATTTACCACTCTATCTTTGTGACAGCGTACTCATCGTGCTTCTTCCCTTCTGACACAACCTGAGTTACGGCGTGCTGGTTTTTGTTACGCAGCTCTTTGCCCTAAACACCCCTTGTGGAATTAGGAATGTAGAAGGCTGTACAAGAAGTCTCCGTAGTTAATCTAGAGGCAAACAATGTTAAAAGTGAGCTGGCTCTTTGGCAAGCTTATTCAATTTATAGCCAGTTGCTACGCCCTTCACATCCTCAAAGGTCCCTCAAAGGCCTGTGCTTAAAGGAGGGGTTACGCCTGGCTCAGCGAGTCTTTTAAGTAAAATAGTACCAGCAGCATTCATGTCGCTAAGAAATATTTTAAGTGGCTGCATGGAGGACCAGGGAGTTTTGGAACTTTTCTAGCCTCTTCTTTGTCAGTAAATCTCAGGCAGGGCTGGCTGGCGGGGCAGCATCGCCGGCAGCGCTGGCCTCCGGCACAGCAGCTCCAGCTTTGGTGTCTCGGGACTGGCAATTCTTCATCGGGATCTACCTTCCCATTTAGGTAAGTAAAAGCAGAGCAAGGCTGAGTTTTCAAATGCTATACTTGTTCTGAGGAAGAAAATAAGCAGTCTGATCTTCAGCTGTGGAAAACTGGCACATCTGTCTTTCGGGAAGTATAGTCAAACTTACTTACAAACGGTTGCATGTACTTGCCACTTAAGAATTAACTCATGGTTTGAAACTATAACCCCCTGCTTGCTTTCTTGTTTTAATTTGAAGGTTTTAGAATATTTAGATGGATATTTTGTGAATTAATGATGAATTTAGTGCCTTTGTTTTTCAGAATTGGACACTTTTAAGAAGAAAAAAGTAACAATAATAACAAAGGAAACAAGCAGAATGAGGAAAAGAAACCTCGGGAGACCACCACTTGATTTAAATGCCCTTACTAGTATAACGCTATCTGATATAAATCAATATTTCTTTCTTATGTTAGAAGAAAATTTTGCTAAGATTGATGGTGTTTACATCAATCTGAACAGAACGTAAAATAGCAGCTTTTTCCCAAAACACATCATTACGTCAGATAATAGGAACGCTGCTACCATTCACAGCTACAGGTCCAGCACCGCTCTGCATACGAAACTCCATGACTAGAGCTGAAAAAAGTGCGGCACTTACCTTCTCACTTAAATTATATAGTCCAAAATGGAATTGCTTAATGGTTAGTCCAATGCATTGACTGAAGCAATCCTAGGAGTAAAAAGTTTAGGTACGTAGGAACTAACTTCAAAATTATCACAACTAAGTTCTTCAGCTCTGAAATAAAAGGTGTTGGGGCAAAACAACCTCCTATCCTTTGTTCACTGACAGTGGAGAGACCTACTTGCTCTCGTTGGTTGGATGATTCGTTAGTTGTTAACTCGTTGCTGACAGATGGCTCTCTCTGGCTCATAGAAAGCCAAGCTGGGTCAGTGTTCCAGTGTTACAGAAAAGTTAGCCACAGTGGCAATGATTTCTCTATAACTTCAGAGATCAGAGAGAATGTTAATTTCCTTGCAGTGAATCAGTAGATGATTTGACCCACTTCTGTTTTGTTTGGAAATGGTTTAGTGACCCTACTCCCTGTAGAAATCTCAACTTTCAAATATATTCTGCTCCTTAATGTGGTCACGTCACTGAGACATGCATGCCCTCCTCCAAAGGCATCCAAAATCTCCATATTTAATCTACCACTGCAGCATAAATTTTTATCTAGAATTACAAACCCTTAGGTAGTTCAATTGCCGTAAGAATTTGAAATTCTAATTATAAGCTTTGTAGCTTTCCTTTTATCTGCCAGAGTCTTTCCCCTTCTGAAAACCAAGCAGGACCAAATTTTACATTTTTAAAATGTTACATTGAACTTACCCCAGCTCCTTCTCTTAATTGCATAGGTTGGCTTTCTTGGCTTGGCAATGGAGGAGTGATCTTTATCCTGTGAAACCAGACACATCCCCAAAAGCCTCAGGACTATTGGTCCCAAGTCCTACTTCAGTCTTCCAATCTCACATGTGTGCATTCCTATTTTTGGCAATCTAAGGGGAAGATCATATGCATAATGCTTTTAAAGAAAATTGCTTTCTAGCACCTCAGCATGGACATGCAACATAACTATTATTTACTGCTCCGAATTCTTACTTGTATTATGTATGTATCATGAAAATAAATGGATGAAAATTAATCTGGATGAAAATGAAGTGCCGGAGAGGTGTGTAGCTTCCCTTAACAAGAATCGGTGTGGATTCTTTCCATATTTGCTGGGAGGTTTTGTTTTGGATTTAGTAGTAATGACCTGATACGAATACAATTCTCCATGGTGTTTCCTATAGCTAAAACCATTCCCCCCGCATTTTCTCCCTCCCCCAAATAAATTTATAATATCTTCCCTCTACATACAGACCTTCAAAGGTTCTGAAATTATACTGAAGATTTAGTTTTAACAAATAACGCGATTACTCCTACTTCATTTGGGGGAGTAAGATTACACAGGTCAGCTCAAATAATTTTTTTTTGTGGTGGACTTAACTGAGCTGTTTAATTTACTCCCTGAAATGAACTAGGACTATTTGTACATACAGCTACAATGGCAAAGCTTTCTCAGTTCTTACTGCATCTCTAACAAGGAGAATAATTACAACACCTTGTATGAGGTGCCAAATTTGGCACGTTATACGTGAATGACATCAGGAGCTCTGCTCTGAAATGTTTATTACAATGCAAGCATAACATTAAATTGAGTTAAAAATAGAATCCAAGCATTCAATCTGATACATGCCTCTCAAAAGCCTTTTTAAACCATAAATCAACACATACAGTTGTTATCTGTTTCAAATGCAGATAACTATGTTTATACACTTTTTCTAGACCACAAATATGCACCATATGAAATAGATTGAATAAAGGCAACATTTTCTTCCATCTATAGATCCCATATGATTGGTGTCTTCCTACTTGGTCTGTTTGTTCTTTTATGCATCGGTGTTTTCTGTTATGTGTCCATAACAAAGACTATCCGATCAGGTCACAAAATGGTACCAGGGAGAGATATCAGCCAAAGATGACGGATTATGACACAAAATGTTTCACAGGCAAGCACACGATTTTTTGTGTAGAGCTTGTATATTAGCAAAGCTAATTGTATT